ATTTCCGCCGTGTTCTCTTATGTCACCTTTCTTGCGACACTCATTTTGTTACGAATTGTTATATTGAGTAGTTTAAAAACTTGCAGCGTAAGCAAGCTTAGTTACATCGTCAAATACCAACCAAGTCCGTCTCAGTTGGTATTTCGGGGCCTAACTGAAAAAAAAAACTGGATTACGCAGCGTTAAGTCAGCTCTGCGTTTCGTCACCACTGTCACATGGCCGACGCTTGTAAGCAGAAGAGTATTTTTACCAAAATAAAGGCACAAAGCGTTAGAAAAAGGGTTTGAATTTCGGGATCCCAACCCCAGTTGGAATATCTAAAAAAAAACTCAAAAACGTTACTCCATTAGATACAAATATACGCTAAAATTGTTCTGTGAGCCGCACGGAATGTATCAGCATGACAGAGTTTGGACCACCCTGGTCTACCTTATCAAGAAACTCCCGACTTTGCTGACCAATATATCGTTGAAATGCGATCGTGGAACCGCCACATAGTGTAAATAGTTCATTGGTTCAATTGTTGAAGAGAATAAAAAGTTTGAAAATAAAAATGCGACAACAAGGTGAATACTAGAAAGAAAAAAACAACAACAACAATTTAAGGAAACGACTCATAGGCCCATTTCGTGTCCAATAAATAAGTTTCAGTGTTCATTTTTAGTAAAGAAGGTTAATATGATACGTGAAAACAAAAAATAAGCGAACATTTTGAAGTTTGACTCGCCTGGTGAACTCGTAATATTTTAATAAATACCGATAAACTATATAAAATTCTGCTCTAAAATTTCTGTGGTGCCCCTCTTTGCTTGGTGCCCTAAGCACGTGCTTATATTGTTTAATGGTTAATCCGGCGCTGGTTATCATATATTTTGAGGTAGTCTAGGGCTCTAGGCAGTCATGTCAATATATCTATAAAGAAATTGTGTAGTTAAATAAAATTAAAATTAATACCTGCGTAGAGGGATAATTGTGTCGGAATTTATTTTATTTTTATTTTTTTTATTGTTATATATAAATCGATGTCGACGGACTAAATGCCACTCATACTTGACGACTAACAGTCAGAATTTATAGCCGTGCCCAAAGTGCATGTGGCGTTAACAAGGACTCCAATTCCACTGTATATGATTTAAAACTGGGCGCCTAGTTGCTTTTTGTTATGTGCTGTGTTGATATATTTCTTCATAATTTCTATGTAATATTAATATTTTCAATATAAAAATTTGTCAGCGAAAACAGCCAAATTAGTTGAGCTAGTTTGGCTGATAACAACCTCAAAATAGGTGAATCCTATTCCCTCGCGGGGGTGGGGACATGTATGGCTCATAGCTCATGATCTCTCTGGACAAAAAATAAATTAAAAAGTAGTATTTCAACTTATCTTTTGAAACATTCTGGACCATATAAAAAAGGTAAATGTTTCGTAAATATCGGCTTTAATCCAACCGATACCGATACATGGCCGATACCGAAAAAATGGCCGATATTGCCGATACCGATACATCGGTACATCTCTAGTGTATAGTACACCCCAGGGTGTACCAAAAAGTTTGAAGGGTGTACCACATTAATAGGGTGTACCAGGGGTGTACCGTACCGAATGTTGTAAGATACACACTATATGCTTCTAACCCAGGAAAGACTTTCGATGGCTGCTAATTTTCAAGATATCTTTTGGCTTGCAAAATTGTCTATCTAACAGCCATATTTGAGTCACCAATCAGTTAAATTTATCGAGGGGAAAGGATGTGATATTTTTGGAGCTAGTAGCAAGATTGAATATTTTAAAATGAAATTGTGGCAGAATAATGTATCAAAATGTGATTTTTCTGATTTGGAATGGTTGGACTATTTCACTGAGACTTGTGAATAGGAAGATGTAAACCAAGATGAGATCAATTGTACATACTGTGTTTCCCCAAAAATAAAGCCTAGCCCAAAAGTAAGACCTAGCCTGGATTTTTAAAATGATCTCAGTATAAGTCCTCCCCTTGATAGGACCTACTCCTTCTTTAGTCGGTAGCGCGAATTTTTTTGACCTATTCAATAGCATGACATCTATACGTTTCAAATGATTAATAATCTATACCGGTATTTAGCAGTTTAAATAAGAACGTGTTATTTATGAGTAAGTATATTTGAAAGTTTCGTAATTCTCTACTTTGTAATTTTGTTTTTGATGAATGAAAATAAAAGACATCCCCCCACAATAAGACCTACTAGTAATTTTAGAGAGAAAATAAATTGAAGTAACCCCTTGTCTTATCTTTGGGAAAACACGGTAAGCATCTTGATGTGCTACTGCTAAACTTCGGAGCCTATTTTCCGGATGTTGAATATCAGTATCTTGGTTCTCTAATATGGGCTATTCAGCCAGTCATTTACAAGTGGAGAGGTTGCTCTTGGCCGCATAACTGGTGCTACAATCAGATCTTGTACAAAAGGGAGAGTTCAATACATATACAAGCTACAACTAATTTTAGGCAGCACAATTAGGAGTTCCCGAGTATCGCAGTCTTTCACAAAAAGCTGTCACCATTCTCGTCCGAATGCCTACAGCCCTACGACATACCTTCCCGAACAAGGGTTGTCTGCACTCATTGAAATTGAATCCTAAAAAGAACAAATGACCGATGGAATACAACAGCAACGGTCACATTAACTAAATAATAAACTATTGCGTCAACATAAACATAGTCTATATTATATAACTTCTGAATATTGAGTTTTTTTCGTATTAAAAATGTAGGACGAGCGGGGTGTACCAGATTTTAAGAAATGGTTGAAAGGGTGTACCATTTCAAAAAAGGTTGACGAGCACTGCACTAAGCTCCAACAAACCTCAATATTTTCACTACATTTTTTAAGACTGCAATTCTATTGAATACCAGCCAACATACTGTTCTATTTCTGTCACAATGATTATAATCGCGGTGCTCAGGAAATGGGCTTTCGACATTGTTATTTAACGGTAAAAAATTCGGTGAATCAATATAATAAATAGCGGTTTAAGACCGTTATATGTATGGAATAATATTATCTGTATGAGATTAGATGAGATTAGGATTGAGAATAGATTATGGGAATCAATTTTTATGGCTTATATCTTGACAGGTTGGTGGACCGAAATAAGAAAAGGGAAATGTTTTCTACTCGGCGTAGTTTATCTTACCCCAGTAGGTGTGGGAAATCACTTTCCTGAGGGTGTCCAGATAATAGACTTAGTTAGTGGGCTATGAAGTGAAGTGTGCTTTATAACCGTATCTGCTGCCCTGATCTTAAGCTTTTGTGTCGAAAATTGTTGGTGAAAGTCTTATATATGTTTTCTTTACAAAAAAAGGTCTCGTAATGTTATATTCTTCGAACACCGGAATTCCTTCATTACAAATTAAGCAGGCAGTTGAATATTGTCTTTAAAAAATACGTGTCTCGATTTCTTGTTACAAAACGTCATTCGGAATCCACATTGCGTTTCCCACTCATACTGATGGATTTGTTATAGTGGCTGGCAAATTACGCCAGCTGCAGAGAGAATGTTGGTAGAAAAATAAGTCCAAACCTAGGCTAAGGTTTATATAATAAACAGCATAATGTAGCATCCGGGTCATCTTGCATGAGTTTTAGGTATATGTGGCTGGTTTTCCACATTATTTTCCGGTGCAGATTATACATGTCTATATCTTAGCCGAAGACTCGTTAGCTTCAACGCAAATGTATATTCATGTAAACTATATATACTGTAGTCGTAAATTTTACAGGCACAAAAGGGCCGGATGAAATACTAGATCCTGCCCGCGGGCTGTATTTTGCCCACCCTGCCTTAGTGGTACTTAAATCAATCGGACTTCAATCAATTATTGGAAACGAAGTGTACATATGAATCGTTTTGTTATTATTTTGTTCTTGCACTAAAGTGGCGCACAACATGAACATAGTATATATTTGTGTTCCGGTTAGGTTCAGGTTGTGCGACTAAAAATCATATCGATACCGATACCTCGTTTCCGTGGTAACCAGGCATTTTGTTATCAAGGGCAATTGTCAAAATGCACTTCTAATCATATTCTTTACTTCTTAAATACACACCGCTACCTTATCCGCTGGACTATTGTGGAATAGGGACTCTGTAAAAATGTCTTAGACCTGGTGATTTAAATGCCACTCCCATCTCCGAGAAGCGGTAGCAAGTAACACGACCTAACCATTGACAAGTCTCGTCTCTCATCCGCTTCTCGGTTCAAATTGGTTATGAGAATCTTATTCAATAGTTCCGAATGCACCGAACCTGGACGAAGGGTTAGCACTCGCCAAACTAAGCAGACAACAATTGCTGGGGTTCGTTAGTATTCACTATTCAGCCTCGAGTAATACATGTTGTTTCTTGGCAATGATTCGCAACATTTAGGGAAGCTGGGGCAAAAGGCGTCGAAGCTAGACTACGTTATCGTTTCGAAGTGCTGGGGCAGAAAACGTGAAAACTAACCTCGTTGTCCGGTTGACTGTGAATATATATTTGGTTTAATCCACCAAAAACGGTTATTGCCGGTCGCGTTATAATTTTTCGATGCTAGAGCTAGATGCTAAAGCTTATGAGTATCCGATTTCAAAATTGTGATGCCAGTTATGTAGTGGACATCTGATCATTGTCAGCTACGTATTTATTCTATTCACTCTTGGACCGAAGCTCTGTCCGGACAATATGACCTAAAAACTTTTATCGAGTAGAAAGGCACTAATTTTTAACAAAACAGACGTCTTGGACATAGAATCAAGCGAACAACCAGAATTTATTTTAGCTCTGCCTTTGCGGAATGTTCTGTGCTCCAATTTAGGCAAGTGGACGTAATGTATATAAAATTGTCTTAGTCAATAGCAGTATATTACAAATAATCGTGAAACGAGACTCTTTGAGAATAGCAATAAATCTTCACTTGATAGCAATATTCAGCAAAATGGCGAAACTAATATTTAATAATTGCGACTCGCAACCAGAATATATAAAATCTTAATATATATATAAATCTGTCACAAAATTCCAAGCTCGTGACAATTTAATGAATTGATACTATTATCGAAACTTGATAATTTACCTAGCGAATGAAAATTCACTTAGCAAAAATGGATATTCACAAAATATTTAAAAAATTTGTTTGTCAAAGTGTTCAACAATTACTAGAAAATGTTTGAAACAAACAGTAAATACAGTGGAGCGCTTTGTTCAGTTCACATAGTTTATGTAGTTGGCACTAAAGGATCCTTTGATGGTTTCTTCTTTTTATCTTTGTACAATAAAATATCTTTTTGCCTCTTAATTTGTTTGTTCATATTACAGTCCCCGAACAAACAAGGTAGCCTGTATTTTTTCGGGACAATCCAACTCTGAATCCATAAAAATCCATCATTGATCACGTCATAAAGATGATCCAACATAGTCTTTTTCTTTAACATGTTTTTAAAATTTCCACTCAGCTTGATTTTGGGTTTTCGTCCCGGCGTATCGCGTTTCACTTGTTTTTCCTCCTTTGTTTCACATCCCATCATGTCAATGAATATGGGGTGCCATTCTCTTACGTCACTGTAAAAATAAAGTGCATTTTTTTTCTCAGCTTCGAATATCGATGCAACCATAATTAAAACTGAAATTTCCGACTATCGAGTTTAAGAATTTTTTTTCGATAGTTGAGTTCAAAATATTCAACAAAAAATAAAATAACTTATGTTTTTGTTCTTAAAAATCTCGGTATCTATAGTTGGAATGGAATGCTTTAAAGAGCCAAGTCGGTTTTTAGGAGGGCTCGGAGTGTAAGTTCGATAGTATGAGTATACTTCGACTCCATAATCAGCAGTAGACGATAAAATAATGGATAAAAAAAATAACTGATTATAAAATCAGGCAAGAAAACAAAACCTCAAGTGAGGTTTGAAGCGTACAGATTTTAGATGGAAAGGTATTGATGAAAGAAGTAGTACGTGTTCTCTAACAGAAAAGTATAAAAACAAATTAAAGCACATGCGCACACACACTCATACAATCATCGAGACATAATAAGGTTGGAAGTGAAAAAAGCTTAAAATCAATTAAATTACTCAGTAAAAGAAAAACAAATGAAATAAAAACAAATAAAATAAAAATGAATAAATTCTTTTGCCACACCAAATTAATAATTTTATGAGGATTGTCAATTTGGATACCGAATTAGTCAACAAGAGTTATTTACTGTGGATAGCAAAATATTCCTCAAAAGATATCGTCGAGCTGATTATAATTGGAGTCACCTAATGCCAATCAGAATTGCCAAGTTGGATGTATGAAGAGGTGGGCCACTCCGAAGCCCCGATAAGCTTCTTGTGACTTTTTTTCAGGTCGACTTGTCATGCCCGCAATGCACAATGGCTTCAATAACTATATTCCAGATAAACAAATTTATTGTAATAGTAATATATATATCAAAGTAAACAAATAATCAAATTTACTCTCGTGGACTTTTTATGTAATATAATACATATTACAATATATACATACCATAAATCTTGGGCCGTGTATCTCTTCGGCAACACGCCGACATCAACTAGCGCAGATTGAAGGAAATTTTCAACATGTGCAAAGGTGACTGCTGCTATTGCAATCCAAATTGCGCATTTCATGATTTTGCTGAGAGTTTCCATTTTGTTTTCACAGGTAGAATCAATATTACTAATTATAAAACCGTTCTGATCTAAAATTACCAGAACAAATTGCAATAAATATATGTATATATATATATATAAACTGATGTTTACTCGTTTTATATCTGTATTTACAGCAGGCATCGTATATATAACCGCTGACCATGTTATTGTTAGTCATTCAAAAGTTTGAAACGCCATATGGTAATATCATGTTGATATATTATTATTGCAATATTGGTACATAGATAGAATGAGTTTATAACACTTTGTATGTTTGTACGCCCTTGGTGCGCCGAATAATTCATGTTACAAAAACAATACATCATTATAAATGTAATCATTTTTATTATCACAGAGCGCGATCACTTTGTCCGACAAATTCATCCATCTTTTGAAAAATGCGCGTTTGTCCTAGAGAAAAAAAAAATAGGTAAATAAAATTTCCGAGTATCGTAAAAGAGAAAAACAAGTCCCCCTCGCTAGGTTCATCGAGAGCGTTCACTATTGAGCAGCCAGTTGTAGTTATACAGGTCCGAATCTGAAGACTCTGAGGATTTTATGCTGTATCCATATTAGAGGTAAAATCGGGCTCGAAAATTCCAGCCCGGCCCGACCCGTGGGTATTAAACCCGACCCGACCGAGCCCGCTAATTAACTAGATTTGCAGGCCCGAGCCCGAGGAAAACCCGAAATTTCATATTTCATCTAGGAGTTCTTTGAATTGGCATTGCAAGAGTTTAGAACAGTATTTCTTAGTTTAATATCCATACATAGTTTTAGTATATATATATTTTTTATCAACATGAAAAAAAACAGTCAGCGATAGAGAAGCCCGACCTGAACGTGATGATTGACATTCCAGGTGACAACCCCCTTAGCTCTAATCCATATCATCTACAGAGCAACACAACAGACATATTAAAGTTTCTGTGTCCAAAAAGTTACAATGTAGCGCCACTATATACTCGTCCAAACAATAACAAGCATTGCACAGCTGCTTCAAGAACCTCATGATCCGGAGTACTCAGCAGTCGTAAGTGTGTTCGAGATGCAGTCAACAACTCATAGCAGGTGCTTGATTGTGCAAATAACTATCTATCGCCCTGTCAGAGTAACGAGTTTTGTCATGGTTATTCTTGTATAATCAAGGTTCGAGGAATCACAGTTGTTCATGGGATATTGGTGCAATATTTGAAACGGTTCCATTCATGGCCCAAAGTAGTATCCATCTGCTGACGTGCCCTTTCCTTGCCTCTCGCAGTTTAAAGAAGGTTGTTGCATCATATGTGCGCTTTTGAAGACATGAATCGTGATGTGACGTGTCTTTGCAGTTGTTGGGTTTTCATTTATGAAGCTGTTGTAACAGCTATCATAGCAGTTACCTTGTCAGGTGAGATAACGTGAAGCCTAATCTCCAAAATAATTGACAGCCAGTTTGAATAACAAAACGCGACTTTCGTGAAGGCCTCTTAAAAATGACGTATGCTGATCCCTGAAAAACTAAAATACTTTTCATGTCATTCACATACATAACGTCAGGAGTTTTTATAAAATGATAGTTCTTGTCGATGATTGGGATCGGGTATACAAAATACACTAGGGAATCTTTTTTTTTTAAATGTATTTTTTTTCTATAAAATTCGCCAATCAATATTTGCTCCTTCACTTGAATTCGTGGTCGAAGCACAGTAGGATATCCTATTGTACGATATCCATATCGTTATACTTCATGTCAGGCAGACATGGTTGCGGAGTCGGAGGTTGGTTTGATTTTCATGCTTTAAATGGTGATAATAAGAGTCAAACGGAGTCGGGATCAAAAATTTTCTCAACCCCAATTCGATTGCAAATTTTGTCCGAGCCATGTGAAAATAAGCTAGAGCTAATATTTGGGCGGTATAAAAGTAATTGAACATGCTTTTTCTATTGCCATAAAATATTAGTTTGAAACTTAGACTTTAGATAATTCTACCAAATTACTGATATCTGATTGACAGTGAATGTCATAAGACATCAGGAGTAAGATCTTGAAAAGATTTTCATATTGACTGCAAATATCTTGTTGGTTTAACAATCAATTAACTCATGTTTAATATCTATCGACGATGAATTTAGTCATTCGAAAGTGGCGCAATATTAAGCTGACTAGGTGTTATTCATACCAAAATTATCACAGTAATTGTGATTATAGACTACAAAATTTGGTACTTATCAGTAGATTGAGGAACACAAAATATTCAATTCCATTTATTTCAATAACCAGTGATATTAATATCATGAAAATACAACTCAACGAACGGTTTAAAAAAGTTTGTCAGATTCACAAAAAACTGTTTCTGGCCAATCAAACATACACGACCCAATGTATGGAACGCATACTAAAATTGGTATGTAAATGTGACCAGTATATGTAAATGAGAATGGCATTACATGTTTTCGTCAATGTGGGAGAAAATATCAGATTTAGCGCGATTATGGTGATAGTGACAGAACGGATGGTTCAATCTTTCCTTTTCTGTGGGAAAGCTTGAAAAGAATATACGAAACATAAAAATATCACACAATTACTTTTTGCATCAAATAGGATAAAAGAGACAAACACAGTAAAATATATATACGATTTAAAGGAATTAACAATACTATAATAGCAACTTTACAAGATAGTTCAAGTGTTATACTAGTTAGCCATTCGCATACCCAATTCAAACAGCTAGGCTTGGTTGCTGATTTTTGATCTTTCGAAGTTATCATTACTCTGTGAATAACTGTGTACGATTTTTATAGAATAAAATAAGACTATATAATACTCAATAATTGTCCAATGAATCTTCGAAGAAATTTGGTTAACGATGATTGAAAATAAATTGAAACAAAGAAAATGGAAAATTGTAAAACCGTGCAAATGTACATTCGAAAACTCTATTGTAAATTACAAACAAGAGAAAAATTACGCCCGACTGTGGCAATTTTTATTCAGGTGTTAAAAGTTTGGGGTAAAACATCAGACTAGAAAAACAAAAGTGTGAAAGTTATATCCTTGACATTGAATGGTCCCGCTGTTAAGAGGAATATCATTTAAGTACCACCTTCGCTCAGATTAAAACTCTTTTAATAAGCAACCGATAAGTTGATGAAGTCAAAGAATGCTCGGTACCGAATTTTGTACTCTATCCGCAAGGTTGAGGTAATCAATCACCGATAGCACATGAATGAATTCTACTATGTAATGATAAAAGAGTATAGAGACGCATTTTTAATTTCATCGTTTCGAATATATCAGCAGCGCGATTTTTAGCTAGTCATTTTAGTCCATATATATGCTAAATTATCATGTTGTAGGGCAACGTTTCCCAACGGGAAGAAATTTCTAAATTTTGTCGTTCTTATGGGGAAATTTTGCTTTGGCTTTGTATTTTCTGTATTATTAGTAATATACTTTACTTCTTTATTATTACTATATATAGTACACATTTATACACACATTATAAACTACTTGAACTGTACAAAAGCTGGACAGCTAGTGTTAGGCACTATTGTGTCCATCCATTGTGTCAATTATTTGAATATTTAGTGATATGAATACCAAAATATGCAACAAAACCAATGATTAAGAAAAGCGAGTGCAGATAAAATATAATACGTAAATGTGGCCACGTTATGTACGCAAATGTGGTTAGAATGAACTGTACCGTAGTGTTTTGGTTGATTAGTGATAGATGTTACGATAAGTATACAAATATGCTCATGATGGTAAAAATGACAGAACTAATGATTCGATTGAAATTTTTCACTTTTAGTTGACAACTCATGAAAGTTTTAAGACTGGGTTAATAATAGCCGATAAGGTATAAATCGTCTCTTTAGAAAGCACACAATAACGTTTTACATCAAATAAAGAAAAACAACATTGAAAACAGCAAAGAATACATGGTATCACAATTATCACCAGACACTTTCTTTGCATATATTTTAACTACTGTGTCTATTTTTCTTATACCATGAAAAATGATATAAAATATACAAAAGGACAAGTATTCCATTGGATATTAAACTGATGATAAAATTTGAAATAGATTTTAAATGAAAAAATGGAACAAATCAAAATAAAATATTAAAACAGTGCAAATTGAAACTGCATTACAAATTACAAAAATGAAGAATTGTAGTACGATATATAGGGAGGCGGCAGCTTTTGTTTCAACAACCAGCTTTACAATTGAGCCAACTACTAATGCAATGACCAAACAACCACACCTTAATGGCATTGAACATGAGTCAACCTATTTGCATGTAGAAAATCTGAATGTTTGACAAAAGTGCTGCTTCCATACCAGAGATAGTTCATGCAGTGATATAACATATCAGTGTTCAAAGTAATATAGTAAATTAAAAATGAAGTATTTACAGGTAATATATTGTACAAAAGTCAAGAAAAAGGTTTGAAAGATTAAAAATAGAGATCCAATCGATATCTATAGAAATAATAAAGTCTTCAAGAGTTCTATTAGTTAGCTGGTGTGGTGATAGATTTGTCCCTGCCACAAGTCATGTTATCCAACATTTTGGTTTAAAAGGGATATCCCAAATTTATCAGAAACATCACATATTCTCAACTACTCGAAAAAGATGCTAAAATTAACCACGAGGGTTCTTTAAAAGGTTGGGTTTTATAATGATGATAGGGTCACAAAAATATTTAGTAAAATGTTCCATGAGAAGGGTCAAGAATAAAGAATTGTTCAATGTGCTTCCATCAAACTAAAATTAATCCAGTCCTATATACCAAAATGGTTACTGGCTAGGATGGGATTGGAACAGCCAAAAAGTTCGGCTTTTATGTACATGATATGCTCCAGAATTGAAAAATTTATTAAATGAGCAATTCCATGGTAATCAATGTTCATTTGACGGCAAAACAGTTAAAATAATATACCAATGAATAGAAAGAACATCGAGAGACTTAGATAAGGCATACAATATACTTGTAGTTTTTTTATATAAATTTGAAGTCAGTGTTATGAAAATGAGTCATATCAATATACAATTTGCAGTGTGATTCAAAGTTTCAGTAACATTTGAGGGGGCAGTGCTAGAATACAATAAAATATTACCAATTACCATATACCTAAAATATATTTAAATTGTATATGAATTGTTTTATCGAGATGTTGACTAAAGCTAATTAAATGGGAAGCTTTGACTTCAGAAAAATGCCATATTTAGGTGGGAAATGATGTTCTGGTTCCGGTCTTGGAGCTTTATGTGCTAATCGCTATGCAAACAACATCATAAGACTTTATTTTATTTACAAAATCAAATATATGTAAATTACATAAATGTGAAATATTTTTTTATTATAATTCACAAACAACTACAGGACAAATAAAATGTCTGTACATTCTATTTATCCCTATATATTCTGACATTGTTAGCAATAAAGGACAGTTCATTATTGTTCAGAATCGCTATCCGTTGAAATTTCAAGACTGCTTAATTCCCCCTCATCATCGTTAGCTAATCGTTCTATAATACTTGCATCTTCATGTTCAGTGGGTGGTCGTCTTATTGTGAAACTTTCAATTGTTTCAATGGAAGGTGTTACTTCTACACTTGGAATTGGTTCAAGTGGGGTAGAAAATTGTCTAGCAGCACCAAATTGTGAAGCAGGTCTAAATGGACGATTATTTGAAGAACGTGGCTGGTAGTTCGTTGGTGAGGAAGGTTTAGGTTCTGTAGCATCAGATGACTTTATCGTGGGCAATCGACTGTCAATATCACCGTAAGTTGATGATGTGAAACAGCTTGGTTGAATACTACCGTTTTGACAACTTTGATACGATTTGATGTTTTTTGGATACGTGGAAAGATTTGTATCAGATATTGAAATGTTTTCAAGCTGAGGTGAGTTTATAGTAGGACTATCAGATATATTGCTGTTGCTGGAATTAATGGTTTTCACGGGCATTGATGAAACAGTTGTAGGGCTCGACCTGAAAAAGAACATCAGAAACTTATTTTCATTAAAAGAAAGATTCTGCGATTTATTGATTTTTATGTTTTTGGTATAGCAGGAAGCTGTAAACAATCGTGAAACACTGATACTTTATCAAATGATAGAAATTGCACCAGTAGAATTTTATAAGCTCGCCAGTTGGTATATCATGCTAAGCGATATGAACACGCTTGCCATTGTTCCCCTGAATACTCTGCACAGATTTGAATCATTTGGGAGATAATTATGTGCGAGAGAATTGCTAGACTCCTCACCGTTGAAGGGTGGTGGTTCATAAAATCACTGGTCAGTTATGATTCCCCAACCGTCAAGTCCACGCATCAAACAAATAATCAGTAAACGATCCCCTGATAAGGACAGCATTCCGACTATTTACTATATGAGCAAGTCATCCTATTGTTCTCCTCTCCCTCAGGATGAATGTGAAAATTGAAAATCATATCCCACATTAACACATTGAAAAAACTAGTGATGATAATTAGATATAGTAATAAGCAAAGATAGTAATATTAAATCGACTTACTTGCAGATATCTATTTGCCCAAAACTACAATATTACTTTACTTACAGTTACGTGTACTATTCAGCGCATTATGAAATATTTGAACTGCAACTCTTGTGTAATTCATTGCAACTCTCATTCAAATAAACTGATATATACCTATTATCCAACTATTAATACAAAATGATCATTTTCTAAAAAAATTTTTACCTGGTCTTCACAACACTGACATCATTTTCAGTTGGTGTTCTAGGTGATCTATTCCATGGATTACTAACAGTTCTTTGTGGTTCAGCTGACTGTAATTGTAAAAAATATTGAAAAATGTTAATTTGTAAAAATTGAATAGTCATTTGAAGTTGTACGTATTCAGAACCAAAAATTATTTTATTTCAAACATGAATTGATGAAGAATGAGACGAACGTTTATATGAGAAATTCTATTCTATCAAAATGCACAATAAAAATAACATTCTGCTGTGAAAATACTATTTTTATATTTTAATAATAATGTGTTCAGTTTTCTGATCATATCACACTTTATTTGTTATTCTCGCTGCAAACTCTGCAACACAGTTGATTATGCATGTGAAATATTTATCGCTTGACAGTAATTAACCTGTTAGAAATAACATAAACCTTATGCTAATGATATCCTGTGTTAGTTGCAACCAGTATGAAAAGAACACAAATGAAAAGTTGCTCCATTATTGTTGAAAAGAAAAAAATGATATAATTGTTGACCAGACTAAAATAGGGGAACTAAGGTAATCCAATCTGGTAATTACCTGGAATTTGACAACTTCTTTCTCCTGGTTTGTTGCAATATGATCCGTTAATGTAGCCTGTGAACCTCCAGAAAGGCTATGTACAAGTGATATTTTCTCTTCTTCACGAATCTGAAGTAGAAAATTGATAATAATTGAAAATAATTTCTCAGAATGTATTCAAAACAGTAAAATATCGATTCTGGCCATCCCTGACCACACTGCTTGATTACTGTATAAGCTTTTAGTTATAGGTGAATGGGGTATGGAAGAGAACTAATGGATTCTATGTGGAAGAGAATTTATTGCTTTTATCTAAAGGTGGAAAACAAAGCTGTTTGCCTGTCGTAGTTTTGTCATATTGGATAGAACATTAAGCTGGTAGGCTCAAGCATGTCTGACTCTATGATCAAGCTAAATTTTTATTTTTCCTCTCGGAACAGGATAAACTTTTATAACACAACCGATATAAAATTCACATCTGTATAATAAAAAAAACAGAGTATACTAAAAGGTGAATTATTAAAAGGCTATTGAAAATTACCTGTTCTCTCAGGATTTCATTAGACGCTGTAATATTCACTGGATTATGTGTCATAAAACCACTTGATCCAGGTGGAAAATCACTTGTTTGAAAATGACTTGGACAAACTTGTGATGGTGGATCTGATGGAACTACCGAATTATCACCATTCTGCAAATAGAGACAAACAACTTCATTAATGGCTTTGGAATAATAAATGAAGATCTACATTAGATATTACCTAAAGTACCACTTGGATATAAATACAGGGTGACCCATGAAAAACAGAATTTAGGCCATTAGACCATATTTAATATATTCTCAATTAACATAACTTTCGTGTAAAACTTCCTTGATTACTGAAACTATTGGGTACCTATACACAGGCAGAAGTTTGGGTGATAAATAATTATTTTTTCCTTTTCTCAAAAGTAATTAGGAAATTTATAGGTACTGTTCTTCTGGGTCAGTCTGTATCTTGGTAGACAATATTCATAAGAGATCTATAAATTTGCAATTATTTCGAAAACATAATACTTCTAACAATGCCAATTTAGTTGAATAATATTTCACAGCGAAGAATCAATCACACGTTTGGTATAAATATAGAAATTGACTAATGGAAGACCTCAAATTTTACAATCAACTTACACTTGCAATAGGTGGTTTGGGATAATAATTCCTTTGCATGTGAGGTGGTGGATGAAATGGTGGATTTTCCTGAAACAAAGTTATAGAGTTTATAGAAAATGTCAGCTCAAATAGAAATAGCTGAATAGGTAGTTTTACCACCAAATATTCACAATATATTATGACTCAGAGTTGAAAAAGAATTTTTTCGTCAACTTTAGGTTGAAAAAAATTTTGGGTTCGATTCCAAATTCATACCTAGCAAAAATTAAATTTTGATAACAAAAATTTAGTTGAAACGATGCAGAAATATATTCGTGTTAGTGTGTAGCAGGCCTCTCTAATCACCTAAAAGCAATAGCCTATACAATTCTCCTAATATACTATTAATGAAGCTCAGTAAACTTGATGTGTTTTGAGTTTATGAAGACAATTTTGACTTTTATTATTATCATTGAGTTTATGAGATTTCAACTCCAGTTGAAGTTTTAAAATTTGACTCCGACTCCCACTCCAGTAAAAACTTGCCAAACTCCACAGCCCTGGTTATAAACATAAATTTTGACATCACACCGGCCTGGACAGAGACTTGGGAATTTTAGAGCTAATTAATAAGCCATGTTGATACAGCTACAATGTGCTACCATATGTGCTTATCTGAAATTGAAATCAGGATCATTTGGTGTCTAAACTAAATAGAGAAAACAAATATTTATCCAACGAGGAAACTGAATTTTGCAGCTTTCAGCTATCATATATAGCAGGGTGGTCCAAACCCAGGCCTACGGGCCACATGTGCCCCGCCACTTCATTATCTGTGGCCCGCGCCGCATTCGAAGAGTAATAAAAATATCGTATTTCAAATTGCTTCTCATGAAATAAATCAGAAAAATCGTTTAACATATTATTGTTATATCACCCCTGTGACTGAATTGACTAGTATGATGGCTAGCTGAAGCAACTAGCGAAGTTGAATGATGTGATGGGCGGTTTAAATTGTTATCTGGATTTCTATCTTTTTGGTTGGGAATATATGCTAACAATATAGGCATGATAGAAAACTAAAAATCAAATGCGGATTCCATTAGCCTAGGTTGGCATTTGGCAATGCCTGATAACTATGTGTTTACACAATAGAAGTGCTTGTTTTGTACTACACTGATTACCTATTCTTGGTACTATTGTGGTCCGCGACCAATGGCAAAATAATTTTGTGGCCCGCGGAGCCCCCAACCTTGGACCACCCTGATATATAGTATTGACCAAATGCTTTTCATCTGTATATCAATGTGGGCTATGTACACAAATTTTGAAAGGATTTTAGGTTCACTGAAACCCAATTTTATCAATTACACTCATGTGAGATATTCAAAATGCAACACAATCTTTTTTCACACCAGAAAGAATATGAATATTTAATACCATCAGATATACCTATCCATAATACTTTAATCATATAGCTATAATATTATAATGACATTTTTTATTTTACATGGAAGTTGAATCATTTCCAATTAAAATAAATCGATACATTTCAAGAAGATGATCTTACATTATTCAGTTGAAAAGATGGAAAGCTCTGTTCGCTGAGTGGAATGTTGTTTCTACATTCAAGAGATTTAGGATGACTCTGAAATGGCAACATAATTGTTTCAATATTTATCCAAAATATTCCACTAATACTAGAGTAATTTTCTAAAAGTTGACAGCAAGAAATCTCTTTCATTTGGGCTTGATGATTCTTACTAATAAAAAAAGTTAGGTGTACCAATATGGTTAAATAAAAGTGTTGATAAAGAAACATTTCTATTATCACAAATACGTGAACATGAATACAAAACAAAATTGCAAATCTTATAACACAATGGGTTTGACATTATTTTGTGTGAGTCAATAGATGATCTGCTACTCTCAAGAACACCAACCAACTAACTAAAAAAGAATTCTGTATCTAGAATCAAGCTCTTATTATAAAATAAGCTTGGCCCAACTGTATATGCCACTTGATAAAGTAAATCAGATTTTAACAATACTTGAAATGTTTTTACTCCGGTGATGAATAAATAATCACAATAGAAAAGGCTGTATCTGGGGACATGAACAAAATATCACATTCAAATTGCACTAAATATTAAACAGAAATCATACTCTTAGTGATGGAGTTGACGCTGGGTGACGGAATTCAGAGGCTGGATACACACTGAAACAATATGAATTGGTTGAATGTGATGAGATATAACCTTGCATTTTATTATGCTATTATTAACACTGCCTCTGAAATTGGTCGGAAATCTGAACTTTTTACTAAATTATCAATTCAATAAATAATAACAAAGAAGATTGTTATAAAAAATGTGTCAGAGTAAATACAACAATAAAAAATTTGTAAAAACAAAGCCAACAGTATCCATGGTTTTTTGGTCACATTCATGTATTACGTGAAAACACAATATGCAAAGAAATAAGTTCAACTAATTTGTCTTTAGGTAACCAATTCTATACCATCTATTAATGACATCAATAATGTTGAATTGATTGATCAAATTTGATCATCTATAAGTAACGGCATATGTCTACTTTGTTTGTTGAAATCATGGTACCTGGAAGTAGCATCACACTGAACAACTCCTCTTGAAACTGGTGTGTATGGTGGTGGTGGTCCAGCATACCAGACTCCAGGATGATATGGATTTGTCAATTCCATCCTTGCTCTAATTTGCCTCAATCTCTCTAGGAAGTGTTTAATTATGCTCAATTTTAGGTGCTCCAGAAATGTATTCACCTATATGGAGGTAACTAATTTTGTTCGCATACTTTACATCAAGTTGTGTAAAGGGAATGATTACTATGGGCAGGGGGTATATTCACTTGGCTAACACAGACAGTCCCCGAACTCGTAATAGAACTAAAATAAGGAAAATCGGAATAAAATTATGGCATAACCCTAACCTGATACACACACTACAAGAGTACCCAATTTTATTCCCGTTTTAATGTGATATATTGGAATATTGCACCCAAGTCTCATACAACCACTTCAACCAGAAAGCAATAAATGAGGTTGAACGACACTCAATTGGAAACTTTTCAGCCATTGAGATTCAATGCATGTGAGTGACCCAAATATTCTTCAAAACGAATCTTATTATAGTTATGACCACAAAACTATCACATGTCAATGGCAATTATCAATAACTGCCAGTGGATATACCAATAGTTTCACACTATCAAAGCCTAACAGATATTTATCATTTTTTAATATGTCTCACACCTGGATACCAATTACAAACCATCATTAACTGTCAATTTTGCAAAATTGATTATTATACACCATGTACTATTCATCTACGTCTTCACATAACCTTTTTGTTACAAATTGACTCAGATATTTAAAATACTATACAAAGCAAACAGGCATTATATTAAAAAAACAAAATTTCCAAATATTCAATTTACTATTTGCATTGTTTACTTACCTAGATTATGAGGATTGGAATGAATTTTAACGTTTTCTTCTCTCAGTTTTTCTAAAATAAACTTTTGAGTTGTCCCACTTTTTTGAATTGCTTTAATTAGTGCTTTCAATGGTTGAGGTCCAGATTCTAAAGATGGTATTACAAGAAAATATAAATTGCCGAAACCTTTATGAAATCTGGCATGGACAATAACTAGGAGACAATGTTAGTGGAGGGTGACAAATGACAAATGGTTAATTCAGGGTAAGTTTCTTTGTGCATTCACTCATATTGCAATTCAAAGTACTGTTGAATTTTACAAATTTCTGATAATCTTTTTTGCACACTTCTATTGAATAGAAAATAAATTAATAATGAAAAATTGAACATGAATTACAGTATTTTCCGGCTAATAAGTCGACTTGGAAATAAGCCAAGGTCAACTTTCACACTAAAATGAAGGTTTTCCCACATAAAATTGGCCCATCATCTGAAAAATATGGTATAACAAAATAGACATGTGATCTATAAGTTTTTCAGATTTAAACGTCCCACATCCTATCGGCCAATATAGATCCTAAATTCTGAATTGTCCCCAATGCACATGATCAATTTTGGATTAAAACATAATGTCAAAATTGAGATGTTTACTTATTAATATATCTAGCATTTTGTTGACTCGACTTTTTGTTGTTCTTTCATTTCTTATTTGCTCACAAGAATCTTGATCAAGATATTCCTTTGTTTGTAAATATGGGAAAAATCTTTCTGGCTCCAAATGATCACAAAGGTAATTTCGCATTCGATTGAGAACCTTGAACAATAAAATTTTCATGTGAAAAACTCACTATATCTATATCATAGTCAATCATTCAAAGCAAAATTGAAAAAGTGAACAAGCATTTACGGTATAAATATAATAAGCATTTATCTATGCAATAATGTTTTTTCTCTCATTGCAGTTTTTGATATTGCCTTCATAATTTAAGGACTATTTATACTTGATGAGGAAAAATCTTCGTTCAAGTCATTAAAGGAAGTCTACTCAAAACGAAAGGTGATTTGACCGGAGAACAGAAAGTTATATTAGCCAGTATGCCATAAAAAATTCAAATATGGATGTACCATGAAACTGTGAACAGGGGTGCATGAGTAATAATAGCTTGACATAGGCTCATTTACCGTGTTTCCCGGAAATAAGACCCAGTCAATTTTCTTCAAAAAAATAACACTAGGGCTTAATTTTTGGGATGCCTTTTATTTTCATTTATTCAAAAACAAAATTAGTAAAGAACTACACAATTTTCAAAATATACAAAATATGAAAACCGATATCCATTTACTTATAAATACTACGTTTTTATTTGAAAATAATTGCTAAACTTTGATTATTAATCATTCAAAACATGTTGGAGAGATTTCTTGTTATAGAATGGGTAAAAAAAAATTTTCACGCTATTGACTAGGTCTTATTTTAAGGCGAGGCTTTTATTAAAATCATATTTAAAATTCAAGCTAGGTCTTATTTTCGAGGAAAACATAGTACCACTCATATATCAGTCATTTCGATCACTCTATGTGTCTGAGTGACACCAGAGTGTATTCATAAATAAGTTATAACAGCTCCTGTTATTATAAGCATACTGTTCAAGCAATCATGTGAAAAAATTACTATTTTACATTTTATTTTCATTCTTAATGGTGAAAACAATGAGGCATGACGCAATACAGTAAACCACAACATCCAATCTATGGCTCATGAGCAATAGAATTTTGACCATAATGACAATTGTTCCTCTTCCTAAGAGAAAATGATTCGTAATATATTTGATTCAGGAAAAATGATTAGCAATAATTGATACTATAAACCACAACTGGCTCTTGTCAATAACAAGCGGTTCTCCGAAAATGTATGATTTCGATTATATCCTAACAGTTGCCCGAGACGCATGGACTGATTAATAATGATGTAATCAGAATTGTGACCAGATATTCCCACCCTATAGTACTCTTATATGTCGGCAATTGGCAGAAATTAACTACAAGTGGGTTGTATTTGAAAATCAAAATATTATTGCATTGCTTAGCATTAACATTTCCTATCTCTACGCATCAACCCAATAATATCTTTTGAAAGTCAAAGTAATGAAAATATTAATAATAATTAATGATTGGGATGAAAAATTATGCTCTGTATTTCCTCTCAAGGTTTTCTCTATGATTAAGTATAATATGCAGGTTATGTTATGTTGTCTCTATTTATGTATATTGTCTTTCCTTATAGGCCAGGGGTCACTGTGCCCATGTGGCCCACCATAGGCTCGAATGTGGCACAGGAACAGTTTGGTAAATGTAATTCTAGTATAAATAATCAATCATAATAACTTCAGTTTATATCAAAATAAAAAATCATGTTTATTTGGTATTGGAAGGTGATAGCTAAAAATAACTAAGCAACCATTTTGTGCAAATCGCAATAAAGCGCTTTTGCGTCGTAATAATTTAAATTGGCAAGTTAATTCACACATGCCTAGCTACTGGTTCTAAAATTAAAAGTATGACCTTATTTTTGAAATACCGAAGGCAGGCCAAGTGATTTTCAGAATGGCAACATATTAACTAGAAAATATACCAAAAGCAGAATAAAAATGATCTCCAAAATTATAGTATTGGGTCAAAAAATTTGCCCAAAGCAGGAAGGTAAGTAACTCAATAAACGAATATAAAACAATGATATAAACTTGGAAGTTTATTGACTACTACGCTGGCATTATCTTACTTTATACTTTGATTAAAAATGATAAACATTACTGAATTATTTACATGGGAAACAGTTCACTTCGTGCAATTAATCTTAATTTCAAATAATAATGTGTGTGTTCCCGAAGTGTTAAGATTTAAGCTGGAATATTTGCAACAATATCATAACACTTTAAACAGAATGATAAATATGCCTTTTTGGCTTTAGATAAAGGATCCCCAAATTTGAAATCATACGAACACAAAGTAGAATTATTTGCAATTTATTATCTTCTATTTATTATAATCTATTATTTCATTATGTTATATTATGTTATATCACTTTTCCCAAATTTTTAAAATTACACTGACATTGAGACACATGACTTAGTGAGATGTTTTCGTTAAATTTCCCAGGCGATTTTTACAATTAAACCTTCAACTGCATTTTATCCAAGCAATATCCTTATCGCAGAAATATGGATATCAACTTCTGGCTTCTTAACTATGGGAACTTTTAGTATGGTATTCTTATAAATCTTCTTTGATTTTTTGGTAACAATGAAAAATTTCTTGAAATATTTACAGATATCAAATAAAATGATAAGCCCTAAACAATTTTTCTTGTCACAAATGTTTCCATACTAATTTGGGAACAGTGAAAAGTGGAAATTTCAGATGGACATTTTCAAAAAAAAAGTCAGAACAGTTAGTTCTGATATTTTAATAATACAAAACCATTTTATTACAGAGAATTATTTATTTCGTATTGCTAAATAAATTATCAATACTGTAATACCTAGCATGATCAAACATACTTTCCATAAAAATGTTTATAAAATTTCTCCCGTCTAAAATCTTAGTACCAAATTTTTAATTAGAAAAAGCATATTTCCCATTTTTAACTGAAGGGATAGGACTCAACTATGATGTTCATATTTGAAATGGGATGGTATTTAATTTGCTCATGTTTAAATACAGAAATATCATGCCTAACACCTCACCCAGGGTGGATTAAATTGGGGCAATTGCCGAACCAAAAGATTCTAGTCCTGACTAAAATTGTAGCTCATTTCCTTTAATTGGCTGAGTGTTTGACAGTGCAGTAATACTGATAATTATTTATTGTTTCACCATATACCGGTATACAGATGGTCGAAAATGTTTGATCCAGAAAATTTCAGTATTTGGATATATTATACAAGATATAGGTGAATCTTTGCAACAAATGATATTCTTTACCGTTATTTCTAATTCTCTCTCCAGTTCTTCCTCTGTCAAAACCTAATTCCTTCAGTATCTTGTCGACCTAACATTTTCAAGATTATGTTTTAAAATCCCTTTGTCAGTTTGTCAAATAAACTGAATAACCCAATGTAAATAAAACTTAATTCAGTGGGTAACAGGGTAAGAAAAATGTCAGTTGAATACACAAATGTATGAATAGTATAACTCCGAACCACTGGAAGAGATCTGTTAAATCAATATCGTAATTCCAAATAAAACCCAACTGACAAATGTGGTGTTTCTATTTCCTAATGTTCCACAGCTATGTCCTACACGCGCACTTCCGTATCCTGTTAGCTATTCTAGTGACGAATATGATCGTTTGTCAGATACCGCAAAGCATTTATTCACCAAACAGTCATTCATGGACATCTTGCTGTGACAGCCATACTGCCTTTGTAAAACTGCGTTCACGCGGAAGTGAACTAAAAACGGGACTTTCCCTGCTCGATGTCGTCACGAATAGGGAATTCCCCAGTTATGATCTCAGTGACGTCATTTTATGTCAGAGATTGATAATAAAATGTGTAGAATATTTTAATTGACACTGGCCAAGAATGATAATTAATAATAGAAGGTTCTTATTAAATTATCCCGGGAAAATCAAAGTGGATAAAAGTGAAGCGACTCAGTGCGACTTATTCTTCATATGGCGGACCACCATCGTCCGTTTACCATCCCGGGATCAGGTAGGTATGAGAATTAGTTAGAGATAGGATAGGATTTAAATATTTATTCAGAGGAGGAGAAAGCGAATAAGACGGCCTTGATGGACGTTGCGGCAGAGGAACGGCCGAAATATGAAAATTACATGGCAGCATAAAGGCAACATACGGACATCATAACAGAATCGAAAGATGAATACAACAGGGATTGATTCAGATATTTTATTTTGTGACAAAGAGTATGATATACTGCTATTTCTAGAAATTCCGCTTGAATACTGAGTATTCAACTATATATGTGTAAATAGTTTGCAGTGTAACATTTTTTAACATTCATTTAGTGGCATATTTTTGATTTGTTCTCTCTGTGTGTATACCGGTACTGTTTTAACAATGTTAGCCACGTCAATGTATCAATTAGGCTACAGACCTGCTCACGTGTGATTAGTGTTTTTCCTAATAATTGCTTTTATGAGTGTCCCGCACACCGAATTTGCCGCCATGGTTTTGCGTTGTTTGTATATTAAACCACTTATCACCTTTTCCGCAATGCCCAATCTAGCAATCAGTGTAGTTTTTCATGGCTTGGTTTTTCTTAAAGCTTTCATGGCTTCATGAGTATGACTATCGTCGCAAATTTATTACATTCCACTCCCCACATTATCTTTGCATGAGGTTGTAGGTATTGGTCATTTATCAACATAATTGTTGAAAGAGAGTACAACAGCCCGAAAGTTTATTACTATCGTGTATTTTGTTTTTTAAGTTTGGCCCAAGCCTCATTTAATTGGGCTTGTTGTTTTTGTGTGCGTGCTGGTGGGCAGGCACATGAGATACTTTCATGTTTTAAACTTTTTTGTGAGTTTTTGCTTGCCCTCCAGAATTCTCCATTTTAAATTTAGGTTTGTTATGGAGTTTTCGAAATAAACTATCTATCTATCTATCTATCTAACTGACCAGCCGTTAAGTGAACCATCCTACTGGGGCGAGCAATCCAACAATCCTCTCGTACATATTTAGGGCCTAGTTCACGAAACGCCGTCAGGTACTTCTAGTTGGGCATGGCATAATTCGCATATGTCATTTCTAACCTCCATCTGACTACGTTATCCAAAAACCACCAAGGGCGTAACGTGGAACGGCGAGCTAAACCGAAGCGCGTGATAGTTTGAGGACCGTGTATTACCCAAGCATCTTTTACAATAATGTGAGGTGCTCCCAAAACAGTTATAATAAAAGTCATGTTTTGTGATAGGTATGCCGTGAAAATTTAAAGAGCTTAGTGTGCCGCGATATAAAAAAAGGTTAGGAACCACTGCGTTAAAGTACACGGACTGTTGTCTGAAACGCGCAGATGATCACCCGAAATCAAGCAAGCTATTTCTCTCGTTTTCTCGTCGTAGCGGTCCCCACATGAGGATGACGTAGTCAGGTGGGGGTTAGGAATAATATATGCAAAAATGTTTGTGCCACGCCAACTAGGACTGCTTACCGCTTTTAGTGAACATGAGCCCATATTTATTCCACACGGGATTACTAACGCCGAGCCTAATTGACCAGCCAACCGTTCAAGTGTATGCCGTCTCACGTAAAACAAATTTATGTGATAATGATCATTGGGCAAATAAAATTTAGGGCTTGGTGACGTAACGTCATTCCATTAAACGTATATAAACGTAGTCTATTTTGTAGACCGGGCGAGGCTGTCACAAACTTCACGAACCATATGTTGTTGTGTTGGTGTTAAGTAATTCACTCTTGCAATAAACGAAATAATAAAGAATCAACTTGGCGCAAGATTTCTCCTTAGAAATCTGAAAGATCTTTAAATCAAGTGGTTGGACAATAACAAATTGTCTCGCCATTGGCATGGACATCATTGCATTCTAGTTTTCAATACTCATCATTCAGCTTGGCTAATATCGATAGGCCTACATATGCAGAAATATGTAACTCACCCATAATTGGCGATGACGAATTCTTGATATCAGGGTGTTCAAGAGTATATCCCACCGCTTGCCTGAAATGCGTGATGCAGTTTTAACACCTTGATGTTCATACTAGCAAGAGAATTAGGCGCTCCAGACGTATGTTTACCAATATGAAGTTACCATAATTTTGTTCGCCTACTTTACATCAAGTTGTGTAAAGGGACGGAAGCCTATGAGCAGGAGGTAGGCTATATTCACTTGGCTAACACAGACTGTCACCGAACTCGTAATAGAACTAAAATAAGGAAAATCGGAATAAAATTATGGCCTAACCCTAACCTGGTACACATACTATGGGAGTACCGAGATAGTGGCTCTGGCAGATTCATATCAGTGTTAACTTTTTATCACCAGAAAAAAGAAAATAATCACTAGAACAACACGTTGTAGCTCATGATTAACTTTAATATCAAGTCTCTCATCAACCAGTTCCAGTCAGTCATTTGCTTAATTTGTAATACAAAATATTGAGTTAAAATAAACTCAAAATGGACCAAGACCAAGAAGAGCCGGAAATCGAGCACAATGGAGGATAAATTGCCTTTCCCCTAAATTTGTCGTTATTCGGTGATAATGCATGTATTGATCCAAACTTTTCAACTAGTATTGCATTGTATTTTGCAAATTCGAGTCCGTATACCAGTGTTTCCCAACCCGAGTCCGCGGTCTCAATTGAGTCCGCGGAGTGTTTGAATGAGTCCGCAACGATGTCAGAAATTCGTGCGAGCCGCAAACGATTTTGCGGAACTTAACTATCAGCCAATTTTACGTTGGAATTTACATAAACATAAAAAGCAAGTTTATTCACATAACAATAATTGAGTCAATATTGGTTACTGAATAGGGCTGGGCATATATTCCAATATTCAACTATTGGAATAGCAATTTAATATTCGAAAATTTGGTAACAAGTGACGCGACAGGTCACTTGCACTTGTGCGCGTCGTTTAATCAAACGATTGGATTTCACAACTCACTGACGAATTTTCCACGAAAACCTACAAGTCGGCACACGCGTCGATAGATGGTGGCAACCCAAATTTAAGTTGAAAAGCGGCAATACAAAGCACTAAAAATAAAACTGAGAACACCATAGGTTTCGTTTTATGATGGTCCGCGACCGATTAAAAACGCATTTTTAGACATTGCAAAACGCAAAATTTGGGTGCTACTACGGTACGTACCAGGGCATTCTCCCTCAGGATTGTTTGCTTTACTGCCTCAACATTAATACGCCGTACAGTACTGGTATATAAGTGTTGTACGAACAGCTCAGATTTGTGAAATTCACAAAAATAGGAATCAAAACAACATATCATCGGGCACTTTACCACGCATTTTTGTGTCCACGGATTGTCATGATATTTTCTGAGTGGTATTGCTTTTATTTCGCCAACACAATCGCAGGTTAAAATGATCACATTTAAATTAATAATAAAGCAAAGCGATGAATATATATTCATTTTTCATTTACTAATATACTTTAAATATATGTTTATTAAGTACTGAATCAAGTTGTACTTTCTGGAAATTTATAACACATAGTGAGATTTTTCTAACGACGATAACAAATTCACAAGATCGCAAAGTATGTAACAAAACTAAATATAATCGGGCAATATATTCTCACATTATTATGTTCGCAGATTGCCGATTGGCATTTTAAAGAAGAAATGCTTTCATCTTGTCGTTAAGTCGACGCAGCCGCGAGTTACCATGAACACAAATAAATTAATATAGAAAGTCATTGGATTGAATATTGTGCGACAGAAAGCCAATTATACACTAAAAAAGTCGACTCTTTCTAACGAACGCGTAATTGCGGCGAATTTCCGATTTTGAAATTCGTTACAATTCTGTTGTATTTGATTTTATTGCTTCTTCGCACAGTGTACGGTTGCAATAAACGCACTTTGAGTCCGCAAAGGTTTTCGCGGGTGAGAAAATAGTCCGCGATCAAAAAGGTTGGGAAACGCTGCCGTATACAATCACCAAATCAGTGGGCCCTTTGTCTATGATTCATGTTTTTTGGAAGAGAAATTATAACAGTTCGATGATTGAAGTCTATCCATCTTGATTTTTCTCAAATACCGATGGGCCGATTATAGAATGCCTTTTATTTATTTTCAAAAATAGCACATTGCTCGCTTGTACGTATTATGCTATAAAATCTAATCTATTACCTAATCGATTCCCCTACTAGTTTAGACCCGTTTTATGGTGGCCATCCGTTATTACCCGTTGCATATTCATTTATATATAGGTGAGGTTTAGAACATCAATATTTTCTTAGATATTTGTACCAGTGTATGAACAATTGTTACATTGATGACAAAATAATTTTAATGACGACACTAGGGATGATAATCTGTAATATATTTCAAATTTTGAACAAACATACTTATTCATACTAGACTTAAACCAGGAGAAATTTTAGGCGTTCCTGGATATTGAGATGTGACGTTTAAAACAAAGTAAGGTCAGGTATTTTCGAATAAGAGAAAATGGTTTGCGAAACATCTAACCTTTCATGGCCATATAATTCCATTTGGTATCCATGTCTTTCAGTTGCGTTTCGTTCTTCATTTATTGCAGAGGGAAATGAAAAGTTTTGACTTTCGGATTGCGGTTCTTCTTTGAACGACATTTTCTGTCTTTGAAGTCGTCTTTTTCTAAAGCTTCCGGTTTTTGAATGTATACTACCATCACGATTGGAGACCACACGGGTGGTTTGTTGTTGTATAGATGTTATAGATTCCATTTTAACATATTATAGTAATTAGACGTATTGATGTACAGCCTAATTCTAAACTGCTCTCTGTGTCTTAAAGCAGGGGTTCTCAAACTTTTGGTGTTGCGGAGCCCCTGAAAAGGTTGACTATTATTCGCGGAGCCCCAAAAGAAATGTTAAAATTGTAGCTTTCCGATAAATATTCCTGAGTAAGTTAAAAGTACTTAACTTAATTTAGATGCTAAACCTTTTTTTAATGGGATTAATGCAAGTCATAAATAAATCAAAATTTCAAAGATAAATTATATATACTCTTACTAAAGCTGTAAATTTGACACTTGACAAACATATTAATAAACTAGGGGTCGAATCTTTTCCCTTTTGACATTTTCGGAAGACTTAAAAGGCTGCTAATAACGTGCGCGATTGCATTTTGTTACAATCACCGATAGTTTTCGTCAGCATGGCATGTTTTTAAACATCTTTACGTCGGTGTTTATTCTCCCTAAATGAAAAATTTTCCTCGGCATATACATGTATTGTTCCACAATGACGACGATAATTGCTTTTTTGTTCTCGTGGGGAATTATGAGTTCAATGTGAAAAACATGTTACCATATAGTCATCGGCGACGAAATGCTAAAAATAATAATTAATAATAAAGAGGTAAATCCGCAACTCAAATTTCTTGATTGAAAAACGGCATTCTAAAATATTAAAACTTAAAATAAAAGATCACACTATAAGTTTGATTTTAGCAGACTCACGTCAGATTAAAAACGCTTTTATAGGCATTGTAAATCACAAAATTTGGTGTAATGTTAGGTTTTCTTTGGTTATTCATCGTATAGTAACTGCGAAATCGAAACACAGTCAATTGTGCGCGCGATTTACCTTTTTTTTATTCTGAAACTACCGACGGAGCCGCATTGCATTAAAATAAATTTCAATCGTATTTTGCCCAGATTTTGTGATTTTTTAAACGGCGATATCTTGCTTAATAATAAGAACAAAAAAGAACAAATCAAGTTTGACAAATTCCAAGATCGCAAAAATACGACTCCAATTTATTTAAAGTTGGCAGTTTATCACGTGTTTTATGTTATTTTAGAATAGTATTCTTTCATTTTAGGAATCCTAATAGTAATCTCGAATGAAATTTGAGTAACTATGAGTACAATTGAATTATTACGACAAGACACTTTAAATGCTCGCATCGGCCATACATTGAATATTTTACGCAACAGAAATCTCCTTATCCGCGTTTTATAATCGCAAAGAATGTTGCGCGGAAATTTCCGATTCAAATCCCCACCTCTTGAGAATCCTGGCTGCGCCCCAGCTTATAAATAATGTCATTTTTCAATTCCGCCTCTTTGCCATATTTCGAGGCTATATTGTTGTCAAATTTTATCGAAGCTGTTATTGTTTCTTTGAACAGTTACAAAACTAGTCATTATTTTGAAAAGTAATCGGATAGCTCGCGGAGCCCCTGGGTTTCTCTCGCGAAGCCCTGGGGCTCCGTACGGAGCACTTTGAGAACATATGTCCTAAAGTACTACTAAGAACGGGTATGTAAATGAACATCTTCCATCACTCAATGCTGTATGCATCAGATGAATGCTTGATCAAATTTAACTTTCGACCGATATATCTCGAAACAATATGAGCTAAGAGGTCACTGATGACACACTTTTTTATACAACCACGAATTTCCCTATAATTTGCATTTACGTGGTTTTTAAATTATAGGTGAAGGTGAAGGTTATAGGTGAAGCAAAATATATAAAGTTACAACACATTTTATCTAATAAAACAATATTCTTTTCTTTTATTCGCGAACTTTTCAAAGTTATTTGCTTTTATACTGTATATATACTACGTTGTCGAGTTTAAGGAAATGTTAGGCATAGTCATAACATAAGGTGATTATTAGTCACTACTCAGCTACATTCAAAAGGCGGTAGACAAAAACGGTAAAGTGTTGAAGGAACCGACTAGGTATTTTTCATATGTTAGTACTCTAGATATAAACTCTGCATAAGTAACAATTTAATTAGTATATATATATACGTCAAAACATATTTAAACTTCACCTGCTGTGTACCAGTATATCATAATCCTAATTGTTCATTAAAACACATAAAGACACAAATCTTTGAAAAGGTATATCTTTTAATAGACTAATACTCAAAAATCTGAAATCGGGTAAAATGAAAATGGTTTGAAAATAAAAATTACATTCCGATTCCGAATCGGACAATAAAATTATTTGTCATAAGCATTAAGGTGGACGAAATAATTTAAATAACAAATTCACTCGAACAATGTGTATTCGGCAGCAGACCTTCTATCTCTAACTTAAAATCATTTATAAAACCAATATGTTTGTTTGTTTATTCACAATATTCTTTCAAGATAAACTCAATTTACGCCCTGATCTGGAATACCTTGTGCGACTTATAAATTCGTACCTGTTCTCACTTCCTTATGCACTTTAAAATAATTTCTTTGGATTATCTTATAATTTTAATGAATTTCTGCAACAACAAACGTTTCATTTCGACATTCTGGCACGGCTTATTTTATATTTACTCAAGACTCGCAACAATTCTTTAATCGCTCGGTTTCTACCTTTTCATATGGTTTCGACCTCGCAACCAAATGGCTTTACATTCCATAACTCAAACCTATAGACAGTGTTTTGATATGTAAGGCCGATGAAAATTATTTTTTTAAAACTCAAAGCAATTGCAGGTTTCTTACTTGGTTAGTCATAATAATTTGTCTATGACATGAAAGGTAAGGTGATCACGAGCAAAGGTAAAATAGATTTAGCATGGTTTAGGTTATTTATGCATCAAAACTTGTATACTCCACGCTTGGTATATATATAGTAAAAAGATATCACCTATAGGGAAGTTGATTAAGACGTGGGTTCCTTCGTGTTGTCATCAAATTGTTACAGGCTCATATTCAAATTTACTTTCCGGTCGTTGCTAATATACATAAACCGACAACACAGTTGCTGATGCATCACCGACACAGTTTTGAAGACAATAAGTTATAGTAGGGAATACAGAATTACCGTAAGCACAATTACCTAACCAAGGTAGCCGCTGACAGGTAGACCGAATGGTCATTTCGCGGTTATCCTGTTCATTCTGGGCAAAGTCATGAATATGTATATATATATTTTCAATTTTGCTTCAACTTTGTTGTGCCCGTTTGCCTGCATGGATGGCTAATAAAAAACGATTTGATTGATTGATTGAATTATTCGTGATTATGATTATTTTAAGTTACAGTTTTTAATTGTGATAATTTTGATACTTTAAGAAATCATATAGCACGGATAGTATTTTTTTAAGATGCGAAGAAATTTCAAAATAACGTAACACACGCATTTGATAGCAGGTTTTGTGGTAGTAACCATGATAACAAGTAACCTATTTTAAAAGATTCAAATCCCGTTTACTAAGACAATTCAGGAAAATGTAAAATGCCATAAAGGTCCTAGACCTAGATCCTCAGCTCTAGCTCTTTGAAGACAGCAACACGGCTTTCGCCACCAACCCAACGCAATGTATGTCGCCGGAACATTTATATATATATATGACTTACCTACCATATTCCTTGTCGACGGTGTTGGTAATCGAGCAGTAGACTGGGTTTGAGTGGAGTTGTATCTCATTATATGTTCATCGAAGAAAAATATCACTGGGCAACTGTATTTTACTAAGTAGCCTATGTGTTTCAGATAATGAAGAAATGTTGTCTTTCAATCGTGTTTACATTATCAAAATAGTGTATTTACCAATCAAAATCATATTAAAATTAAATAAATATATCGATTTAGAGGCGGTATTTTTTATATAAACAAAACCAGCTACCCAAACTAGTAAATATCTGACATGTGGGATAGTATGAGTTGGACCCTTTGTATAATGCTATTAGACGTACGCTCATTTACATATAACAGATTGAAGAATTTGGAAAAAAGGAAGGACAAAGAAATATTTTACATGCATACTTGATTATAATTTTACGCCACGATTTAAATCAGATGCTAACCACAAGTGTTTTAGCTTTCAATTTTTCTAAATTTAGCTTTCAATAACGCACCCAGAATAATAGCAGATTTTCAAATCATATATATTGCACACCGTCTTCGAGGTTATATTTATGACTTTATCATTGGCACGGTATGAATATACCTCACCTGAGGATTGAAATGAAAGATACCAGGTATCTATCCAAAGTGGTGTGCTCTGTTGCAAATAAGCTATGAATAAACACGCAAGCAAATCTACCAATATCGCGCTGGGTAGGAAATGAGGCTTTTCCCATTTTCGAAATCTGTCTTATTTATTCGGATATATTTGTACATGTATCATGTGTATGGTGTTAGTTTATTTTAATTTTTTTTTACTAATCAAAATAGACGAATAGAATTAAGAGGCAATTTGAAGAAGACTTTTCCAATGGTTCTGGAAAAATTCGAGATGAATACAATTCAGCAGCACTAAAGTGGTACTCTTTCCACCATTTCATATAAAACTTGTTTTCGCATCTGGTTGGTACGCTTGCACAGAAAATCGTTTGCAAATTGTCATTTGTATACGGGTCAATTGCTTTGAAATTCAGTGGTTAAAGATTCTATTTTTGCTAGAAGGCTGTTACTTTTATTTGTTCTTAGTTTTCTGTGAGATCTGATATTTCATCCAAATGGCGCTGTATTAATTTTAATTACGGGAACACGGTTTTATGACATCGGACGGACGGTACAGATAGTCTAATGTTGAAAGATTGCATACCCGTACTACGCAGTTTGGATTTCATGTCCATATATATTTGGGCATCGCTCTCTCGTTCTCCTGTTGATAGTGTAATAGCGCATTGGACAGATGACGTGACACCGCTGTGGGTTATATTTAAATGAATGAAAAAAAAACTATATATGTGGTTTTGAATTCAAATAGTTTGTTTACTTTGGAATAACAATCAGTCACTTTTATTTGATGATTTAAAAGACGTTGCACTTTAGTACATTCAGGAACCCATTGCTTTAAACCTTTTAAGATCCCTTTGTATTCCGATCCGTTCCTGATTGACTGTCGAGGCTGAAAATGCTATTAACGC